GGTTGAGCAACCCTGGGTTCAGTCCCCAGCGAAAGAAAGAAAGAGAGAGAGGGAGGGAGGGAGGGAAGAAGAAGAAGAGGAGGAGGAAGAAGAGAGGAGGAGATTATTTATGGAGACAGAGGAAAGGAGTAGAGAAGAGAGGGGGGGAGAAGGAGGGGTGCTAGAGGAGGCAAATGAAAGTTAGGGGGAGGAAGGAAGACCTTTCGGGAGCCGGGAGCGGATCTGGGATCCGCAGCCTAGGAGTCTCTTCCAGACAGTTCAAGGAGGTCAGTTCTTCTCACCTCCGTGGCCTCCGCATAAGGGCAGGCGAGTAACCGGATCCCTGCTGTAGCGGAGGCCACTTCCCTGAGCCTCCCTGTTGGCTGTAAACACAGCTGTTCCAAGTCCTCTCGTGTACAGTATCAACAGACCCTGGCTGACCCCACCCCACACATGGCTCCTAGACACCCGGCTGCCCCGGTGCCCGTCCAGGCTCTGTGTCCCTGGCACTGAACCCACCGCTGCTGCTGCTGGGGCCACCCCTGCCCCGGGGATGGGGGAGCTGGAGAGGGAGGCAGAATGGGCAGGGCATGGACACATGAGGGGTGGAGACCCTTCCCTCCACACGCTCCCAAGCCCACCTCGCCCCTGGCCTCACTGCTCAGGAAAGACCAGCTGGTTCACCCTGGCACCGTGCCCAGCGATGATGTGGGCACCAGGCCTAGACAGGACAGCAGGCCGGAGAGCAGCAACCCTGATGGGCAAGGTCACCGCTCTGTCCTGAGTTCTAACACCTCCAACTGGACACCGCGGGAGGTGGAGAGCCACAGAGAGGAGTGATGGTCCTGTCCTCAGAAGACCCTGTTAGAAGGAAACCGCTGTCACCTGAATGAGAGGATGCAAGCTGACAGTGCCATGGGGTCAGGCTGGCATAGGGTGACAGGGCCGAGGGGAGTGGTGAGGTCTGACCCAGCTCTCTGCCCACAGTGTGTCCCTGCCCCCAAGGCCTGGCCTGCCGTGCCTGCGTGGCCTGCCGCCACCTGTACTTCCAGGGAGCCTGCCACACAGCCTGCCCTCCAGGCACCTACCAGCAGGAGTCCTGGCGCTGCGTCACGGCCGAGCGCTGTGCCAGCCTGCGCTCGGTGCCCGGCCGCGCCTCTACCTTCAGCATCCACCAGGGCAGCTGCCTGGCCCAGTGCCCGCCAGGCTTCACCCGCAATGGCAGCAGGTGAGCGGAGGGTGGAGCGGGGGAGCCTGGGCCGGTGAGGAGGCCTGAGGAGGCCCTCAGGGATCCAGAGCTCATGCCACCCGATTGTCCCCACCAGCATATTCTGCCATAAATGCGAGGGGCTGTGCCCGAAAGAATGCAAGGTGGGCACCAAGACCATCGACTCGGTGCAGGCGGCCCAGGACCTGGTGGGCTGCACCCACGTGGAGGGGAGCCTCATCCTCAACCTCCGCCAGGGCTGTCAGTACCTCCTGGGGCCGTGGGCCTCCTCCTCACCACACCGCCCTCCCAGCCTTGCCCATTACAACCAGCTGGCTAAGTACCACTTCCTTCACCCAGGCCAGCCCTGAGGACCCACTCACTGTCCCTGCCCTGTGGGCCGGCCCCTTCCCTACTCCGGCCCACCCCTGTCTTCCTTCCTCAGACAACCTGGAGCCCGAACTGCAGCGCAGCCTGGGGCTGGTGGAGACCATCACTGGCTTCCTCAAAATCAAACACTCCTTCGCACTCGTGTCCCTGGGCTTCTTGAAGAACCTCAAGCTAATCCGGGGGGATGCCATGGTGGATGGGTAAGGGGTCAGAACCAGGCCTCTGTCCAGCCCCTTCCCTCAGCATTCCCAAAAGAGTGGTGAAGACAATGGGCTGTGGAACCCGTTCAGCCACTTACTAGCTGTGTGACTCTGGATAGGTTACTTAACTTCTCTGGCTGTTTTTCATTGATAAAATGAGGCTACTTTAACACTACTTATTTCTTAGGGGCTGCTGTGAATATTACTTAGATTGTGATGTGTAAAGCACTTAAAATAATGCCTGGAACGCAGAGTATACAATGCAAATCAGAGTTACACAGAACTCCATAAGGATTGGCCGTAATTGTTAACATCCGATCCTGCGTAACATGCCTGCATAGCATGTCTTGCCTGGGTTTTAAACTCACTCCCACCAACAGCTGGACAAGACCTACCCAGAATGTAGCCAGGATTTTTCAAAATAAAAAGAATGCTTTAAATTAGCATCACAGTGGTGCACACCTGTAATCCCAATGACTCAGGACCTGAGATAGGAAGATCACAAGTTCAAGGACAGTCTGGCCAATTTAGTAAGACCCTATCTCAAAATTAAAAAAAAAAAAATAAAAAGACTACAAATGTAGCTTAGTAGTAAAATGCTCCTGGGTTCAATCCCCAGTACTAAAATAATAAGGATAAATAATAAATTAATGAATTAATTAACATCAGCCGGAGCGTGGTAGCTCATGCCTATAATCTCAGCAACGCAGAAGGCTGAGGCAGGAGGATTGCAAGTTGAAGACCAGTCTCGGCAACTTAGTGAGACCCTGTCTCAAAATAAAAAATAAAAAGGGTTGGGATGTGGCTCAGTGGTAAAGCTCCTCTGGGTTCAGTCCCCAGTACTCCCCTCCCCCACACACACACCCCAAAAGTTAGCATTAGTCAGGTGCTCTTCTGTGGCTCCTCATGTCTCCTGGCACATTGTCGGTTACACCTAGAGGTGCCCACACCCCAGCCTAAGACCCACTGCCTCAGGATGAGAACCATCCCTCCTGTGTCTCCCAAATCAGGATGCAGCAAGTGTTCCAAGTGAGATGAAGTCAGGAAGGAAACAGGGTAGCTCTTGAGCCCATTTCACTGATGGGAACAACAGAGAGGACAGGTGACCTGCCAGACATCACACTCCTGGTCAGTAGCACAGAGTGGGTGTGCCCAAGGCCCCCACCCCTGTGCTCTGGCTGTGAGAGGCTGCCCATGCCCAGCACTGCCCCTCCAGGAGGAGCCCCAAAGCCACCCCTTTGGCACCCCCAGCCCCTATTTCCCTACAGAACAAGGTCGCCTGGCCTCCCCCAGGAACTACACTCTGTACGTGCTGGACAACCAGAACCTGCAACAGCTGGGGTCCTGGGTGGCCACTGGGCTCACCATTCCTGTGGGCAAGATCTACTTTGCCTTCAATCCGCGCCTCTGCTTGGAGCACATCTACCGATTGGAGGAGGTGACGGGCACCCGGGGTCGGCAAAACAAGGCTGAGATCAACCCCCGCACCAATGGAGACCGCGCTGCCTGTAAGGCCCAGACCGGTCCCCAGAGCGAGCACCGCTCACAGTGCCACGCGACCCCCAGGCACAGCGGGACGCTCAGGCGCGCTGCCATCCCCACACCCTGCAACGCACACGCACTCGGGTGGGAGGGGTCGCTTGAAGGGGACAGCCACTTTGGAGGTCCCGTGGTGGGTGGGATGCCTGGGGGCAGGGTGGGGCTCGAGCAGGTGACAGGCGCGTTGGGAGCAGTGTTTACCCGGTCCCTGAGCCCAGGCCAGACTCGCACCCTGCGCTTCGTGTCCAACGTGACGGAGACGGACCGCATCCTGCTGCGCTGGGAGCGCTACGAGCCGCTGGAGGCCCGCGACCTGCTCAGCTTCATCGTCTACTACAAGGAGTCGTGAGTACCCGGCGGGGCCGCCACCCGGGCCGCCAGAGAGGGACCGACCGGAGGCCGACGAGGGCGGGGCGCCCGGGGCTCCGGAGAGCCGGAAGCTAGGACCCCCAAGTGACATTTCAGTGTGGGGCCCACACTGGGCGCTACTTCAGTTTCCCTCACCAAGGGACGAAGGGGACCGTCAGGGCTTCTGGGAGCTGCGATCCCTCTGGTGGAAGGCTCGATAATTAAACTTCAATTCACTATGCTAATGCGCCACACTGACCACACGCTCCTGCCCCAGCAGTGGTTTGGGGAGTGCCCATTAATTTGGCCAGTTTTAAGAGCAGCTCTGCCAGCACTTCATTAAAGCCGGAGAAAGGGAGGGTGCTGAGATGGCCAGGGACCGGTTGCTTGTTTCCTTGAAGAGAATGGAATGACCCTAGCAACAGGGATCACAGTTAGAACACAGAAGAACTTCCCCTCCAAACATGGCTAGGAATCAAACAGAGGGGAGAAATGGATTTTGGAGGGCAGGCTGGACAGGCAGGAGTGAGGAATATTCTCTCCCAGGTAGAGAAGATGCAGCCATCTGGCTTGGAAAGACTGTCTATGAATTAAAATTGGAAATCTTTTTTTTTCAGGTCCTGCCTTAGGGGGAGGGTGAGAGGCTTCCCCAGTGGTGGGTGACTGGAGCTAGCATGAGGGGCTGGAGAATTTGTACAGTATAGATTGTGAATTTCTAGTCCCCAGTACAGCCTGTAAGTCTGCATTGCCAAAGAGCTTCTAGGTGATGCCTTCTGAAGGTGCTGGTTCATGGATCACATTTTAAGAAGCACTGACAAGGCCTGCAATGTGAATGGCACCCCCGACTCATGAAGTTCCCAACTGCACAACTCTGCACAGATGCTTTTGGGCAACAAGAGCAGAGAATCATGGGGATCCTCCAGGGGCTCCCTAATATTACTGCCTTGCAGTGTGACTGCTGTGCTCCCTCAGATGCATGCACGTGCTCACCCGTGGCATTGATTCTGCCCCTCTACACACTTGCCCCTGGACTGTCCTGCTTCCATCCCAACAAGGGCAGGCACTTCCTGCTGAGCCTAAACCCCCCACTCACTTTCCTTTTCTTTTCTTTTTTTTTTTTTTTTTTTTTGTACCAGGGATTGAACCTAGGGGGCACTTAACCACTGAGCCACATTCCCAGCATTCTTTATGTTTTATTTTGAGACAGGGTCTTGCTAAGTTGTTTAAGGTCTGGATAAGTTGTGGAGGCTGGCTTTGAACTCACAATCCTCCTGCCTCAGCCTCCAGAGTCTCTGGGATTACAAGCATGTGCAACCACACTGGACTATCCTGTTTCCCTTTGACATCCTCTCAGGTTCTGTCCCTTGCTCAGCAAGAATTTCACCCCTCTACCTCCCTCCAAAGCACGAAGCCCCAGATTTTCCCCATCATCTACCTTGACACCTACCATTGGACTCCACTTTCATACTTTCATCTTTCCCAGCAACCAGCCCCCCCAGGGGCTATAGAACTGTGCTTATAGTCTTCAATTCCACTTGAGGGGAAGGGGATTAGGATAATTTCATATCCACCTTCATATATATAAACACACACACACAATGCAAAAAACAATTGGGAAGGGGTACTGGGAATTGAACCCTGGGGTGCTAAACCACTGAGCTACAATCTCCAGTCCTTTTATTTATTTTGAGGTAGGGCCTCATAAGTTGCAAAGGGTCTCATTAAGTTACTGAAGCTGACTTTGAGTTACAATCCTCCTGCCTCAGACTTCCAAGTCACCGAGATTATAGGCATGTGCCAACACCTCCCAGCTTACAATGCAAACATTTTTAATGTTCCTTGTGACTAAAGCTTGATATTTCCTGCTAATGATGAGGAGATGATTCATTACAAATTTGGTTGGCAACAGATATCACAGGGGGCACAGGGTCTATCAGGTGGATGGAGTTATGGCTCTGCCCTCATCCATAGTGGAAGAACAATGACAATGACAGTCCCCTGTTGATTCAAGAGGAAAGAGTATGCTAGAACATGGGGATGGGGCTGAACCAGTTCTCAGTTCTGGGGACGGGGTGTTCAGCCCATTCCAGAATGCCACAGAGCATGTGGGTCCAGATGCCTGTGGAACTCAGAGCTGGAACCTGCTGGATGTGGAGCTGCCCCTAAGCCGCACCCAAGAGCCAGGGGTCACCTTAGCCCCCCTGAAGCCCTGGACACAGTATGCAGTGTTTGTGCGGGCTATCACACTGACCACTGCTGAGGACAGCCCTCATCAAGGAGCCCAGAGCCCCATCGTCTACCTCCGGACCCTGCCTGCAGGTAGGCTAAGCACTGAGAGGACCGAAGTCACTGTGCGGCGGGGACCAAGGTACCAGAAACAGAGAGGCTAGGACACTGAAGGTCTGGTCCTAGAGACGGGGAGGTCAGAGGCCTGAGTCCTAGAAAGAACAGGGGACATTCACCTGGGTTCTAGGGAGGGTGCCCGTTGCAACACTGCAGGAAATAAGCTGGGAGAATTCAAGGGACTTTGGAGAAGGGGAGGACAGCATTCTGATCTCTAGGAAGGAAGGTCACCTACGCCTCCAGAGAAGGGAGATGGACTCCAGAGAGAGAGGGACTCATTACCAGACACTCTCTGGAAGGGGAACCCGCGGCCTCTGAGTGGTACTCTCCTCACACCCCCAGCACCCACGGTGCCCCAAGACGTCATCTCCACGTCCAACTCCTCCTCCCACCTCCTGGTGCGCTGGAAGCCACCGACCCAGCGCAACGGAAACATCACCTACTACCTGGTCCTGTGGCAGAGGCTGGCGGAGGACGGCGACCTCTACCTCAATGACTACTGCCACCGCGGTGCGCAGGCCGGCGGGGTGGGGGTTCAGGTCGCGCTCGGTGGGCACCAGAAGAGGGAAGACCCCCTCTCTAACGACTGTCTTCACGGACGCGGCGCTAGGCTTGCGGCTGCCCACCAGCAACCACGACTCCCGCTTCGACCGCGAAGATGGGGAACTCGAGGCCGAGACCGAACCGGGCTGCTGCCCCTGCCAGCACTCACCTCCTGGACAGGCCCTGCCGCCGCTGGAGGCGCAGGAGGCCTCGTTCCAGAAGAAGTTTGAAAACTTTCTGCACAACGCCATCACCATCCCCAAGTGCGACCAGGCACACGCCGAAGGGGCGGGTCTGACGGGCGGGGCCTGGAGGGTGGGTCTTCCAGAAAGGTGGGGCCTTGGGCGTGGCCTGAGTTGTGGGTGGGGCCTGAGTTGTGGGTGGGGCCTGAGTTGTGGGCGGTGCCTGAGTTGTGGGCGGGTTTGGGGAGAAGGAGGTGTGCTGTCGCAGAGCGCGCCGGGGTGCGTTCCAGTGGAGCCTGATAGCGCCTTCCCGGGCTCCTTAGGTCCCCTTGGAAAGTGACCTCCCTCAACAAGAGCCCTGAAAGGTGAGCCGGGATGGCGCTGGGGACTGAGGGGCGAGACTCCAGGGAACGGGCCCTGGCTGACCTACGCCCTCTCCAGGGACTTGGTGCGGCACCGCCGGGCCGCCGGGACCCTCAGACTAGGGGGCAACAGCTCGGATTTTGAGATCCAGGAGGACAAGGTTCCCCGAGAGCGGGCTGTGCTGAGCGGCTTGCGCCACTTCACCGAGTACCGGATCGACATCCACGCCTGCAACCACGCGGCGCACACCGTGGGCTGCAGCGCGGCCACCTTTGTCTTTGCGCGCACCATGCCCCACAGTAGGTACACCCCCACCTCTACCTCCACCGCTGTCCCTGACCTCCTCGCCCCAGAAACTCGCTTTGCTCGCCTCTCCCCGTTTCCATAATCCTAGAGCTTCCTCAGACCTTGCAGTTCAGCCCAGTTTAACTTGATCTTGAACGTGAGACAGAGGAACTACTGGTGGCCTCATTGCCAGATGGCCCCTCCCGCAGGAGAGGCTGATGGTATCCCAGGGAAGGTGGAGTGGGAGGCAGCCAGCAAGAGCAGTGTTCTCCTGAGGTGGCTTGAGCCACCGGACCCCAATGGACTCATCCTCAAGTATGAAATCAAGTACCGTCGCTCAGGAGAGGTAGGTACCCTAGGGCACCCCCTGTCTCAGCCCCTATTTTGTGCCTACATCCCCCTTCTCAGCCAGCTCTTCTGTGCTCCCCGTAGGAAGCCACAGTGCTGTGCGTGTCCCGGCTGAGATATGCCAAAGTTGGTGGGGTCCACCTGGCCCTGCTTCCCCCTGGGAATTACTCTGCGAGGGTTCGTGCCACTTCCCTGGCTGGCAATGGCTCTTGGACGGACAGTGTTGCCTTCTACATCCTTGGCCCAGGTACACAGACGAATCCCCAAACCACACTGCTTGATCCCCAGCCTACCAGACCCCTCGACCCCATCCTTCCCATCCTGATCTCCCAGTGGTTAGAGGGGAGCATCCCCTTCCCTTGGACTTTTCAATTTTTGACCCTGCCCTTTGCTGTCCTGTGGCCACTAGAGGAGGAAGACTCCGGCGGTCTGCACGTCCTCCTCACTGTCACCCCCGTGGGCCTCATGCTGCTCATCATTCTTGCTGCCCTCGGTTTCTTCTACGGCAGGAAGAGGTGATGATAGTTCCCACTGTCCTTCTCTTCCTCATGTCAGCACAGAGGGTGGGAGACCAGACAGCAGAGAGCACTGCCGCCCCCCACCCCGCGGATTGATTCTTCCCGGAGATGACCTGGAGGAGTCACACCCCTAGGCTAGGGTGACCAATTCATCCTGGATAGCCTGGGATTTTCCCCGTTTTAGCAGGAAACCCCTCCGTGTGGGCACACAGGGCCTGGTGGACCACCGCACTCTCAACCCAACATGAGAAATAATGAATCTAGTCCTGCCATAGCAAGGGGACAGACCAGAGACCTCAGCATGTGTCCCCGACACTTCATATCAGATCCCTCTGGGACAGAATGCAAGAGGGATGTGAGGGCAGGACACTGGTCAGCTGAGTCCTAGGGATGTCCCGAAGGGTCAGGAACCCCTTTACTCCTGAGTCTGCCTACTCCCAACCTGCCATATTCCAGCACTCAGACCAAAATCAGCTTGGAAATGTTTTGTGCTTTCCGGGGGTCACCCTGACCTGGGCTGGGGTGTGGCCAATAACCCTCCTCCTCGAGGAGTCCCCTTCCTTGTGTCTGGAATGACTCAAGCCTTCCCAAGGCCTCTTCCAGCCTGACCCCCTTGCTTCCTGTTGCAGAAGTGGCACCCTGTATACCTCTGTGAATCCGGAGTACTTCAGCGCCTCTGAGAGTAGGTCTGGGGGCGGGGGACAGGTGGTGTGGGAAGGGAGACAGAGCGGAGGAGAAGCTTCCAGGATACTTGGAGAAGGTGGCCTTGGGACTAAAGCACTTCCCAAGAGGAGGAAGAAGTGGGTGGAGGTGAGGCAGAGAGCAGCGTCCCTGCCTCATGCCCCCCTCCTCCTCTCAGTGTACGTCCCTGATGAGTGGGAGGTGCCCCGGGAGCAGATCTCCATCATCCGGGAGCTGGGCCAAGGCTCCTTTGGGATGGTCTATGAGGGCCTGGCACAAGGACTCGAGGCTGGAGAGAAGTCCACGCCGGTAGCCCTGAAGACGGTGAATGAGCTGGCCAGCCCACGGGAACGCATCGAATTCCTTAAGGAAGCGTCTGTCATGAAGGCATTCAAGTGTCACCACGTGGTAAGGAGGTCAGGCATTGTCCGGGTCATAATTAAAGTAAAAGTAAAGTGGTAAGAAGGAAAGAGTCAGAGATGACTTCAGGGCATCATCAAGATCAGGGCTGGGACTGTGGTTAGGAGCCTAATTGGAAGCACCTAAGTATCGTGGTGTACAACTGTAATCCCAGTGACTTGGACCCAGAGACTAAGGAGTCTGAGGCAGGAGGATTGAAAGTTTGAAGCCAGCCTCAGCAACTTAGTGAGACCCTACCTCAAAAAAAAAAAAAAAAAAAAAAGCCACATGCCTGTAATCCCAACAGCTCAGTAGGCTGAGGATCTCAAATTCAAAACCATCCTCAGCAACTTAGTGAGGCCCTAAGCAATTTAGCAAGACCCTGTCTCAAAATAAAATTAAATTAAAAAAATTAGAGGCTGGGCAAGGTGGTGCACACCTGTAATTCTAATAGCTCAGGAGGCTGAGGCAGGAGGATTGTGAATTCAAAGCCAGCCTTAGCAACTGTGCGGCACTAAGTAACCTGGGGATGTGGCTCAGTGGTTGAGTGCACCTGAGTTTAATCCCTGGTACAAAAAAAAAAAAAATTAGAAGGGCTGGGGATGTGGCTCAGTTGTAGAGCACCCCTGAGTTCAGCCCCCAGTACCACACATGTACACACAACAAAAACAGAAAGAAAAAAATCTCAGGGTTATGGCTATAGTTGAGACATGTCATGATTGGGGGTGTCCAGAGGATTTTTAGGGTCATGATTGGAATGGAAGTCAGAGTTGGGCCAAGTTCATGATGTGACAATTTTCAGATATGATCAAGGTTCGGAGGCTGTGAGTTAGGGTCAGCATGGCTGTTAGATCAGGATTAAGGTTGGAGTTATGGCTGGGATAAAGGTCAGAGTGGATGTCTGGGTCAGGCTGTGGCCACAGCAGGTCAAGGTTTTGGCCAGGATGGTCAAAAGGAGGTGGGTATATCTGCAACCAAACTCTCTGTCTGTCCCAGGTGCGTCTCCTGGGAGTCGTGTCTCAAGGCCAGCCAACTCTGGTCATCATGGAGCTAATGGCCCGGGGGGACCTCAAGAGCCATCTTCGGTCTTTGAGGCCTGAAGCAGAGGTGGGAACCAGGAAGACCCTGAGCCTTCAGAGGCTGGGGAGCCTGAGAAGACTTGGGCACAGGGTGGGGACAAGTCCAGGTACCTTCTTCACCAGCCCTGTCTCTTGGCCCTAGAACAACCCCGGGCTCCCACAGCCAGCACTAGAGGACATGATCCAGATGGCGGGTGAGATCGCGGATGGCATGGCTTACCTGGCCGCCAACAAGTTCGTGCACCGAGACCTGGCAGCCCGTAACTGCATGGTGTCCCAGGACTTCACTGTCAAGATCGGGGGTACAGAGGGTGCCAGGCAGTGAGGGCCTCCCGAGGAGTAGAGACCCCCCTCGATAGCTCCCCATAGCCACAGCTCCAACCCCGACAGCCTCTGAGAACTTGGTCAAGTCGGTCCCCAGATGAGTCTCCTGGCCCAAGGTCGGAGGCTTTGGGTGGGATGACCTCTGAGGTCCTTTGAGCCCCCACATAAGACTCTCGGAGGCTGTGGAGGTAGAGAGGGCTGGGAGAGGGATTCCTGGGGCAGGATCCGGCGTGTGACCTCCATACCTCCTCCACCCGCTTTTTCTAGACTTCGGGATGACTCGGGACGTGTATGAGACAGACTATTACCGCAAGGGTGGGAAGGGGCTGCTGCCCGTGCGCTGGATGGCCCCCGAGTCCCTCAAAGATGGAATCTTCACCACCCACTCAGATGTCTGGTGGGGCTCGGCGGGATCAGAGGGTTCCGGGGGTGGTGGGGTGTCATCTGGGCATCCTGAGGGTGCACTGGGCAGCCTGAAGGGTGCTGGGCTCAGGCCCACCTGTGTGTCCTCAGGTCCTTTGGTGTGGTGCTCTGGGAGATCGCGACCCTGGCCGAACAACCCTACCAGGGCCTGTCCAATGAGCAAGTGCTCAAATTTGTCATGGATGGCGGGGTCCTGGAGGAGCTGCAGAGCTGTCCCCTTCAGCTGTGAGTCACCCCTGCCTACCCCACCCCCAAGACCCCGGCCTGCCACCTCTGATGCTTCTGTGTCCACTGACCCCTGGCCCCGCGGTGAGATGCCAGTTCTGCACTCTCACGAGGCAACCCCCACGCCACTGCCCTCCTCTGGTTCTCCCACACACAACGCCCCTGGACCCTCTGCTTCACCCAGGGACCCTCCCAGTGCAGAAGGCTGGGAGTGAGCGCCTGGGACTCCAGGGTCCTCAACACTGCCCCCCCCCCCCCCCTGCCAGGCAGGAGCTGATGAGCCGTTGCTGGCAGCAGAACCCACGCCTGCGCCCGACCTTCACCCACATCCTGGACAGCATACAGGAGGAGCTGAGGCCCTCCTTCCGCCTGCTCTCCTTCTACTACAGCCCAGAGTGCCGCGGAGGCCTGGGCTCCTTGCTACCCACTGACGCAGAGCCCGACTCCCCACTAACTCCAAAAGAGGCCTCAGAGGGCAGCCCCCAAAACGGGGGTCCAGGGCATTAAGGGACTCCCCATTCCCTAGCTGACTGGGCTCTCGTGGGTAAAAAGGAAGGGACCCAATCTTTGTGCCCATGAGATGTCCAGATGTTCACCTCCCACCCAGCCATGCCCAGGGCAGGGAATGGCCAAGAGTGGGACAGAGAGCAGGAGCAGGAAGACGCGGGTGCAGTCAGAACAGACTCCTGCAGGAAAGAGCGTCTGCAGCCGGAGTTCGTGGGAAAGCAAGCAGGGCCTCGGTGGGAGGAATCATTAGACCACGGACAGGCATCCCACCGCCCGCAGAGGGAGAGGCCCTGCTCCCACTGAGAGGAGACGGCCCATCTGCCCTGGAAGCGGAGTCGGAGGAGCCCACCCTCAGCTCGGCACCTCCTGTGGACATTTGGGTTCATCAGCGGGAGCAATCAGAGCCAGGCCTGGACCCTGCCCATTCACGCTGGGGACGCCCAGGATGGATGTGCAGATTGCTGCCCGTCCTTCAACTGCATCACCTCCTCCCTTGGCCCCACACACCAGGGGGGCGTGGCGAGAACCCCAGCCTGCCCTGGTGGACCTGCCCCAATTCCTCTCCCCTGGCCCCACAGGGACCCCCAAGCTTGGTGCTCCTCCTTCTGGTTCCCCAGGGGCCTCCCTTGGTGCACATTCCCTGCTTTGTCCAGTCTTCCCCTCAGTCTTGGATCATTAAGGCTTAAAGAGCCGCGTCTCCTTCCCTCCCCGCCCCACCCCTGCCTCTCATGGAAGGCTGGAGAAGGCACAATAAAGGCTGAGGTCTGTTTGGACCCAGGTCCCGGCAGTGCTCTCTCCATCTCTATGCTGCACTTCCTCTCCCCCTCCTGCGGGACTTGAGGTGGTGACCCGAGGGTGGTAGGTAAGACAGGATAAGTACGCCACTCCATGAGGCGCTGAGCAGCCCGGCTGCTGCGGCAGGACCCAGGACAACTTGCCATTCCCTTCTGCTCGGGGCCAGAAGTGGTTGAACCGAGCAGGGAACCTTTCTATCTGCCCTCCCGGCAGAGCCCAGCGTCCCCCACACCCCATCTTTGCGGTCTCCTGCTCTGTCTGACCCCTGGGCCGGCATTTCCTCCCAGGAAATCCCAGGGCAGACTTTAAGTGGGAAGACACGCATAGCGCTGCCTTTGAAAGACATTATAGCTGCACCACAGGGGAGTCAGGGTCCAAGGCTTTTATGTCAATGTCAGGACATCTGAAGGGGAAGAGGTGCAGGACAATGACCGCAAACCTTGGTGAAGCAATGGGAGGGGCAGGTCACAGTTTGGGAAAATCTTTTTTTTTTTTTTTTTAGTACTGGGGATTGAATGCAGGGCTTCACCATGCCAAGCACCCTCTTTACCGCTCAGACTCTTTAGTTTCTTGCATCTGTGTCTCTGGGACCACAGTGCTCAAGTTGCCACCCACTGCCACCAGTACTGAGCATCCTTGCTTGTGTCCTGCAACAAGAGAGCAATCAGGCAGGGTGAGACCATCTCTATGACAGCAGCTATCCTGTTACCCTGACAGAGTCAGGGTGGGCATCAAGGACCACCTTGGAGAACAGACCCCTCCTCTGCCCTTGCCCAGCATTGGTGACTGAAGCAACAGTGACGCCTAATGGTTGGCAACAGAACTGCAGCTATTGGAGGAAAGAGCTGTACCCCCTCCCCATCTGTTTTTTTCTGTTGCTGGTCTCCCCCAGACTTTTAGGAGAATGGAAGAGAGGAGAGTCCACACAAAAGCCCTGGACCTAACATCCACACGCTCACACGGAGCTCACAGACATACTGAACCTGCACACACTGCAGAAGCTGCAGTGGGGTCAAACCCTCCCCCACCATGTCCCCAGCCTCCAGAGCTGGGATTGCGTGCTGGTCACCTGGGTGTGCTGGAGCAACTTCAGGAAGGGACTGGAATTTAAAGAAAAGAGGGCTCCAGGAATACCCTGCCTGCTGGGCACAGTGTAATCCCAGCCACTCAGGAGGCTGAGGCAGGAAGATTGCAAGTTTGAGACCAGCCTGACTCAAAATAAAAAATAAAAAGGGCTGGAAATGTAGCTCACTGGTATAACTACTGGTAGCTATTGGTAGAGCACCCCTGGGTTCAATCCCGAGTACAAAAAAAAAAAAAAAAAAATCCTGGGCTGGGGACATAGCTCAGTTGGTAGAGTGCCTGCCTCGCATTCACAAGACCCTGGGTTCAATCCCCAGCACCAAAAAATAAAAAAAATAAATAAAAAATCCTACCTGGGTTCTACTTCCAAAGATGAGAGATGGCAGCTGGCTCAGAAGGATTTTTGTAGTAGGGTATAGAGAAGCTAGAGGACAAGCCCTGATGCCATCTGAGTCCCAGAAAAGGAGTAGGTTTAACAAGGTAGCAAGAGAGCTGCAGTTTGGACCTCAGGAGGGACTTCCCTACTAATCAAGGAAGGCCCGTGGAGGGAAGTCATGCCTTCTCTCCCAGTGACAGCTGGAGACAGATACAGGCTGACCTGGGAAGGAGGGGAGGACACCCACCACAGAGGAGGAAGGGTAACCGCATGACCTAAGAGAGTCCCGAGCACCCTTCTTTCTTGGGTGTGGTACTGAGAGTCAAAGCCGGGGTGCTCTATCCCTGAGCGACATCCCAGCCCTTTTTATTTTACTTTATTTTTAATCTTGAGACAGGTTCTGGCTAAGTTGCCCAGGCCAGCCCTGAACTTGTGCTCTTTCTGTCTCAGCCTCCTGAGGCTCTGGGATTTCAGGCAGGCACCACCACACCAGGCCAGAAGCACAGTTCTTGGCCCCTCTTCTCTGCCCAACTGGGACAGAACTCAAATAAACAGGAGCTGGGGTTGTGGCTCCGAGGGAGGGCGCTTGCCTGGAGCGTGTGAGGGACTGCGTTCTCAGCACCACGTATAAATAAACAAACAAATAAATAAATGTCCTGCAGCTGGACAGAAGGTAGAAGATGGAGTGGAGACAGAGGAGCATAAAGAATGTTTTAGAGAGTTCCATGTCTTGGAACTGTCGCTGTGTCCCTGGGACAGGTCCCCACCACCCAGGCAGAAGGGTACTGGGGATTGTAGATCCCATGTCCCATCCCTTCCAAGCTCAGGAACAGCCGATGTGTCTTTGTAGGAGGATGGAGGACAGGTGCTGGGGGAGAGAAGTCCAAGGACCCCGGGGAGGGGCAGAGGGAGTCCGAGATCAGGAGAGCTGAGCCCTGAGCCAGGTTCAGTAGGGGCAAGCTCCAGCTCCTCTTCCTCTAGCCTCTAGGCAAATGGCTGCAGCCAAGGTGGCTCCCGAATATCACTGAGAGGGAAGAAGAGCAGGATACGAGGAGCTGAGCACAATGGGGCCTGCCTGCCATCCCAGCAAGAGAGGCTGAGGCAGGAGTACAGTTGCTTAGCAAGACCCTGTCTCAAAATGAAAAGGCTGGAGACATAGCTCCGTGGCAGCTCAGACGTAGCCCTGGGTTCAACGTCCAATACCAAAAAAAAAAAAAAAAGAAAGAAAAAAGTGGGGTTTCAAGGAGAGGAGAGCAGCATCCCACGTCTGCTCTTGGCGAGGTCTCTTACCCCCCAATAACGCTGTGCTCCCTCCAGTCCTAGGGGTCTTGGGTGACAAGGCACCAGACCTTAGATGCCCATCCAGGGGGCAATCCTGAAGAAACTGTGAACCTTCCCCTTGGCCTAAGGTCAACACCTGTGGACGTTCCTCCCCTCCAAGTGTTTTGCCTTCTCCAACTTTCTCTTGGGAGTTAAGGACAATAGGGATGTTAGTGCACGGCCACTGTTTTAGTAGCTTTTTTTTGTGCTGTGACTAAAAGACCTAACAAGAACAGTTTTATTGGAGGAAAAGTTTATTTGAGGGCTCACAGGTTCAGAGGTCTCCATCCATACCATAGACAGCAGGCTCCATTCCTCGGGGCTTGAGGTGACATAGGACAACATGGTGGAAGAGTGTGGCAGAGGGAAGCAGCTCTCATCATGATCAGGAAGCAGAGACTCCACTTGCCAGATACAAATGTGTACCCCAAAGCCACACCCCTAATTCCTCATCTCCTCCAGCCTCACCCCACCACTCAATTAACACCATCGGGGAATTAATTCACTGATTGGGTGAAGGCTCTCATAACCCAATCATTTGTCCTCTGAACCTTCTTGCATCGTCTTGCACATGCGCTTTTGGGGGACACCTCACATCCAGACCCTAATGACCACCAACCCACAGCCGAGGTCTTCCACCTTTCAGTCAGGAGTTCCTGCAAAACCCCAGGGCAACACTGCCTGCCCCTGGGGTGGAGGGGCGTTTAGGGTCCCCCCAACCTGCAAGGTTGATAGGCTGATGCCGGCACCACATCAACCCCTTATTTCTCCTTAGGAGTCAGGGGCCTGAACACCTGAGTCATCTCCAGGTCATCCACCATGAGACTGAGCAGTTCTGGGTCACTAGTGAGTACCAGTAGGGTGACATCATCCCCACCTGAAGAGGGTAGAAGAAGTGGCATTGAATAGACACCAAATCAGGAATCCAGGTGGGTGGGCAGGGGATGGATTCAGACGGAGGATGCCTGGATACCTGGAGAGCCCTAGTGCAGTCAGGTCACGGGGTTCCTGGTGAGCCCGGGTACCCGGGAGCGGAGGTCAGATTCTCACCTACATCTGACGCCTGGCAGAAGCAACATTCTTCAAAGGGACCACAAGGCTGAGTGTTGATGTTCTTGCTGTTTTTTTAAGTCCACCCTCCCCCTTTTCCCCACTGATGTTCTTGCTATTAAAAGGGAGCCCAGGCAAGTGAGGGGACACACCCCTGTCATCCCAGCTACCCAGGAGGCTGAGGCAGGAAGAACACAAGTTCAAGGCCAGCCTGGGCAACTTAAAGAGACCCTGTCTCAAAACAAAAAAATTAAAAGGGTTGGGGATATAGCTCCATAGTAAAGCACTTGCCTAGAATGCATGAGGCCCCAGGTTCAATCCCCAGCAGAACACACACAAAATAAGAGAGGCCTGGCTGGACACGGTGGCACACACCTCTATCTAATTCCAGCAGCTTGGGAGTCCAAGACAGGAGGATCACGAGTTCAAAGCTAGCCTCAGCAACAGCAAGGCACTAAGCAACTCAGTGAGACCCTGTCTCTAAATAAAATACAAAATAGGGCTGGGGGTGTGGCTCAGTGATGGAGAGCCCCTGAGTTCAACCCCTGGTGGAGGAGGAGGAGGAGGAGGAAGAGGAGGAGGAGGAGAAGGAGGAGCAGAAGAAGAAAGGTCCAAAGGTCCATGGAGCAAGTTTCACAGGGGCTCTGATGAGGAGGTGGGAGAGCGCTGGGCCTGCTTATCTGGAGTCCCCTAACTCTGAGATATTTGCCAGAAGATCCAGCCCCTGCCCAGGAGCTTTACTGACTGCGTAGGTAGTCTCACCTGCTTCCTTGAGCATTTTTCTGCACCCTGGGGATCACAGAGCATCTAAAGAGTCTTTTCTCCCCAACTCAGTGGAAGAGGAGCCCGAGGGATAGGGCAGGAGGGAGGCACTGGCAGGATCAAGATGGAGACGGAAGTCTTGAGACCAGTGGGTGCACAAGCTAACCTGGGGCACCTGGCATCCCTTCCTGGCTCGCTCCCCACCCTCTCTTCCCCCTGCAGCTCTTCAAACACAAAGTGGTTCTCTGGATTATGGAGAGACGAGAGGGGGAAGCAGGCAGTGTGGGTGAGGAAGAGAGACCCCCAGAGGGGCAGGAAGAGGACACCCAGGACTTCTGCCCCCCTGCCCCTTCAACCTGTGTGGGTCTGGCCCCCAGCA